AATTTGAAAATCAATTTTACCAAATCTAATAAAAACCCGGTAATACAAATCCGACCACATCAAACTATGTTTGAGCCGGTACAGTGTAACAGTAAAAATCATAGTTGAAATTATAAATATCTATATATATATATATAAATATCTATATATATATAAATATATATCTATATATATAAATATAATATATATACATATATATCTATATATATATATATATATATATAATATATATAAATATATATATATATATAACTAGATATCAGAATCTGGTAAGTGTCCCGATTATTATATGATTGCATGGTTTTTGTGTATTCTCTCTGTTCGCTTTGAAAATGCCGTGACCCAAATTAGTCATCACCGGTTTCGATTGTTTAAAATAAATTAACAAAAAATATCTGATATCGAAACTTGAAAAAAATTGATCGATTTTTATGATAAAGAACTGGTCGATTTTTATTGGCCAGCATGTAAATCATGAAAAAACTCACATAATAAATCCAGTAATTGAGCATAACCTTAACTCTAACGCCTATTCTACATATGTACGTACGTACGACGTAGCCATTGTTGTGGCCACAAAGATCCGCCTATGAAAATCCACGAATTTTTCTGGTTTAAAATTCGGTAAGGTTAGGGTTAGTAATATATTTGATGATCGGAAATATAGGACATAGAGTAAAATTAGTCAAGGAAACTTTTTTATTAGAACATAAAGAACGGGTTCTTAAGTGAATTCTTGAGATAAAGAGGGTTAATTGCCTAAATTGTTGGCGATCATCACACATGAACGAAAAGACTTTAATTAAGTGTCATAAGTTGTGGCGTACTTTGTAATACGTAACCGTTTTTAAAAAACAAAGGAAACATTTTTGAATGTGCTACATCATATTAAAGTATAATTCATAAAAGGAATATTTTCGGGGGGTACAAATAAAGTTAAAACTTTTTGTTCTTTACGTTTAACGATTATTTACAAATGAATAATTGTTTAATTTGAGCAATAAAAACTCGTGGCATACAAAAATAAACAGATGAATGTACGTACGTAGGTAGATGCTTATCAGTTATAATTCCGGATCAATTCAGGAAGTATATTGTGTGAAATACTATAGGAAATTCCATAAAGTGCTATATTTTCGAAATCTAGATTATGGAATTCAGATTACTATTTCAATCTCTATTGTTAGTAATAAACATAGATACTCTGACATCATAAAGAGGGTAAAGTATTTCCTAGTAAAGTTGTCTCGGCCGTCGAATCTACATAGAATGTGGGATAATTATAGCTGCATCAGTTACATACAGTATCGTATTATGCATATACGTAACAGAATTCTGGTTTAGAAAGTAGTTAATCTATATACGGTGCACCAAGTCACTTTTTTGTCATCAAATGCTCCAAATTTGGCATAAAACGCCAAATTTGATATAAAAAGTTGGAAGATTCCGAAGGAATAATGAAATACATAACAGTTTCACAGAAAGCCAAATATATCTAGGTCAATATATGCAACATAATGCTAATTTTTATGTTACATAGAAATTGTACAAATTTTTTAAACTTTAATGGTGTTATAACTTTAATCGATGAATATAATATCGATATGCGGTTACACTTTAATCGATGAATATAAAATGCGGTTACACAAGATGGATTATCCATAGAAAGCTGTAGAGTGGCTAGGTACATACTTGTACATACTGTATTATCCTATAAGCTTTTTATTTATGTCATTAAACCGGTATGAGGCGTTTATTCATGTCCAATAAAAATTCAAAATAAGCGGAATATAGGTTCCGATAACATACGTAACTCGTGTGATATCATTTCAGAACAAAGAAGAATAGTAATCAAGTGAATCTAGAATCTAGAATCTAAATTGAAGAAATCTATCAATGAATTCGAGGCTCAATTGTTCAATTTAGATATGAAATAGAAACATTGTCCATACATATATTTTTCCGTTATGTCATGCATTAATAAAGATTAATAGAAAATAAGAAATTTTATGCAAGATCCCCTTCTGCGGGTTCAATTGTTCTATACAAAGGAAATAAAAGTTTGAATCAGCTTGTTGCAAATGAGAGCTAAGGTGAGACTAAGGAGAAAGGCAAATTGTTTGAAATCTCTTTGTAAATGTTTTTTGGAAAACCCTATAGAGCTTTGGCGTTCTGAATTTGCATATTTTCTTATTTTAGAATTATAGTGTACAATAATAGTACCCGGAAAAATACAAGAATGTATTATTAGCGTTCTAAATCATAGAATATACTTTGAATATTTTATATGTATTTTTCCAGGGGAGAATACTTTGAAGATTCTTTGATTATAGCCTGATGATGTTTTGATGATATTTTGATGATATTTTGATGATATTTTGATGATTTGATCCATCCTACAGGATTAGGATTGTAGTGAATAAGTATATTGCTTCATTTAATTATATAGTAACATGAGGGTTAATTGCAATCTTTAATTAGTATTGATACACGCATTATTAATAAAAAAACGCGTCGTATTACGAAATTAATTAGAATACGTCTCTATAATCGACTCGGAACAAGTTTCTATTATAGTCTATTTATAAGTTTTGTTCATTTTTTTCGGGTGACATTGCATTACATATAATATGCATTGCCTATTCAAGGCTCTAACTCCTAATTGTTGTTACAGATCACGTAACGTGAAGAATTATAATGGAAGATGATGGATGAATGTATATATAAATATAAATGAAATTAATATAACTGAAGAATATAAATGGTTAAAATTAAATTAATGGTAACATATTATGGTAATATATAGAGGAAACAAGATTTATAAAAGGGGTCATTTCATTTTTCTTGTTATTTCTTGTTATTAAATTGCATTATTATTGCATAAAAAATAGGCCGAGTTCGCGGTTGTAATTGCAAACATTATGAATATTCTTCGTTTTATTTGATAATTGCATAGTTGCTTACGAAAAATATTATAATAATAACATTAAAAATGAATCTTTATAATAATAACAAAAAAAAAAAATGGATCTTTATAATAATAACATAAAAAAAAAAATTTGAATTTTAAATTTATTGTAACAATATATTATCTTCCGTTATTCGACAAAATTGTAACACTTGTCGATCACGGATTTCAGTCCGATTACGATGTAATTTTTTTATATATATATAAGCAGCAAAAATTCATTCATCTTTTTTTAACGAAATCCGTTCGTATTTATTTTATTTACAAAATTTACAAAATGACAGAAGCTTCAAAAGTCCAAATGCTTAATATTCAAGAAATTGAGCAGCTCAACATCGATGAATTCGCAGGAAATATCTCAAAGGGCAGTAAAAGCTTAAATGCGTTTTTTGTATATAGAAAAGTATTCACTAAAAGGGCCATAGCTAGTGGAATAAAAATGAGAATGACCGATATTTCGAAATTCGCTGCTCAAGCATGGAGCAGCGAGTCACCAGAAATTAAAAAAGCCTATGCTGACGTTTCAAAAAGAATTGACAATGTATTACAGAAAAAAAGACAAAAAGATATGACTTATCAGATCGTCTACGATGGAAATATGAATAACTTCCAATCGCCCATTCCACAGGAACGAGAATCCCCTATAGAATCACCTATAGAATCACCATTAGAATCACCTATATTGACCCCATCTTATCCTGATTTGATACCGGGCACTCAGTTTTCATTCCCTCTTAATGATGGGCCATTTCTTAATGAAGGATCATTTCCTAATGAAGGGTCATTTTTTATTGAAGGTTCATTTCCTAATGATCCTTTATTCGATATAAATTCATGCTATAACTTTTTACCCATGGATCCGATATATGATCCTTCATTCGATATAAATTCATATTATAACTTTTTATCCGTCGATCAGATAATCGACCTTTATCTCAATTATCCATGGTTATTTCAACCTCAATAAAATGTATAAGAATTATACAAATATGAACAATTTACTTGTAGGGAAAATAAGGAAAAAAATTATGCAACATGTTAGTCATTATTAATATGACTTTAAATTCGATTTTAATAAGATTTCAATAAGATTTAAGTAATAAGATGATATTTAGCAAGAAATTTCGCTCGGGCATTTATTTATTTATTAATTATGAAGGTTCACCATATCTTCCCGATTTTTTTTTTCTTTTTTTTTTCCTTATATTTTCCTTTTATTTAAAAATTTTTTCGCATAAAAACTTTTCACATATATTCTATTTTCACAAATTATTTGACTAAAATTATTAATATAGTATTAGTAGGGTGAAAATAGAATTTCACTATTTTCATTATCGATTATCTCTCAAAATGTATTCGTAAAATTTTTATTATTTTTCATTTTAATCAATCATATAACTTTTCAATTACAAATCACAATGTACAATGCTTTAGCAATTTCAAAAAACAAACACTAATATAAAATGCTTTAGCAATTTCAAAATTCGGTATTAATCGAAACTGTTTAAGTTAAACCTGGTTATGTAAATGAAAATCGAAACTGTTTAAGTTATACCTGGTTATGTGAATGAAAATCGAAACTGTTTAAGTTATACCTGGTTATGTGAATGAAAATCGAAACTGTTTAAGTTATACCTGGTTATGTAAATGAAATTTAATTGGATTGTGACCTCCAAAGCTGCAGAGAAAAAAAAAATCGCTAGTGTCTTTTAAAACTATACTGTATCAAGTCGTTTATACAAAGAAATATAATGTATCAAGTCGTTTTTACAAAAAACTATTATATATTAAGTCGTTTATACAAAAAACTATTATGTATTAAGTCATTTATCCAAAAAACTATAATTAATCGATTCGTTTATAGCTTACGTACGTACGTACGTACGTATTAAAAATTTTTCATGCAAAATTTCGAGATATACAGAAATTCGATTTAAAGTTCATTCATACAGTATTACTATCGTTACGATCGGTTTTCCTGATGTACAGCATGAATTACTAGATTTAATCATGTGCTATCATTCGGTGGTACTATTGGAAGGTATGACCCATTCCAAGATTATACGTTGTCTTCGTCCAAGTAGAAATGGTGATCCTTTGATCCCATTCATTGTTTAAAATTCAGAACAAAAATTACTTGCTTAAAATTCAGAACAAAAATCACTTGCACTTGCATACTCACTTAAATTTTTTACAAAATACTTGCATACAGTATTCAAAAAAAGCTCCTGTACATGTGCATCTTTCTTGTGCAAGCAAATTTTAAACACTGACCCCATCCCAATAAAGAAAATTCTTAAACAATTGTCCTAGTTAATAAATTGTTCTTCCAATTGTTTATTTTTTGGTCAAATGCCCAAATATTAACCGAATCTTGTATTTGTGTTCCAAAGTACTGTCCAACTAGTAGGTTAGTGATTTACTATTCGTGTAACCCGAGCTTCTGGACTTAATTAATGCCGCGGATCATAAATCTACATTTTCTACTCAGCCTATTAACCTTCTAAAACCCACTTATACTTGTTTATTATAACTTTACTTTAAAACTAACCCTTAATCCTAATCCTATCCCTAAAAAATGCACCCCAAAAAATTTTATTTTTCGAGATTTTATATTTAATTTCATTTTGATCTGGATTTCATTATGATCCGCCACAATTAATTATGACACACTAACCTACTAAAGTTTAGTCTAACCCCTCCTATCGTATCAGTATGGCTAAATACAAATATTTTCCCTACTACAAACATATCATCCTCATATATAGCTAAACTAAATCTAGTGGAGGCACTCTAGTAGAACTTTGGGCCGAAGATAAAGTGCTCCTAGCTGTAACAATGCATGTAATCCATTCATGTAATGTAACGCATAATTATTCAATAAAGACGAGGCCAGGCTTCACTCTTAAAAAAAAAAAAAAAACTAAGCTTATTCTAGTCTAACATACATGCCCAGATCCGATGTTCTAGCATTACCAATCCCGCTGATCAAATTTATCTGATGTAACCTAAAATCAAAACAAATATACATTTAACACTTACCACTAATGCTGATAGCGAAATTTTTTCGGGCAACAATATGACTGTTGTCAAACCGAGGATGACACACGAACCGATCTTTCTGTTAGTAATTATATATTCACGTGATTTATACGTACCTAACCATTTAACGTTAAATCCAATGTTGGTATTCTACGTATTGTTCTATTGTTCTATTTTATTTCTATTGTGAATTTTTTTTATCTAATTAATGCTAATCGTAATTACTAATTATTAATTATCAACACTAAAAAATATTTGTTGGCGCTTGGTACTACATACATTAATATTGCTTTGACGAAACCTCTTTTTTGCTTTTTAAGAGAATTGGCTAACTTTCTTTGGAATTAGAAGGTAAAGTAAACCGATTGTTTAAAGATATTCTATGCTAAAAATATTTTGCTTGTCAAATAGGAGTTGATTGTATATCAAAAAAAAAAAAATTCCCATTGTTAAACGTATGGAATTACTACGTGAATAAAATTATTAATACATAATAATGCATTAATGATTTATTCCGAAAAATGACCCAGATGACCGGACAGGTAGTGATCCAAATCGTTAATTGAGTTAACAACTAGTTGACTAATCGATTGGAAAATTTTTAACAAACTAATCATTGATTGATTATCTATATAATAAATTTCAAATATTAAATTTCTTTAACAATCAAATTTATACAAAAAATATATGAATATTTATTTAACCAAACAAATTTATCAAAGACATTTGACAATTAATAAATTAGCAATTATGTTGGCAACTAATCAATTTGAACTTTTTTACAGTGTAATTCAAATTGTATCAAATTGTATCAAATATCAAATCAAATATTTGAGAAGCCCTAATAGGTTGATTTACAAACATGATTTCTTGTAATAATCAACTAAGCAAATTTTATAATTTTTAAAAAATTATTATAATTCTACTTGAGAATAAAAAATAATTTTATATTATAGTTGATTCTAGATATATCAAACCTGTTTATACTAAACTCAAGTTATAATAAACCAGATCTATCAAAACTGATTTTTTATAAGAATTTAGGCTGCCTATACCAAACTTATATAGTAAATTTATATATATATCTAAACTTTTCTTTACTAACTCAAGATTATATATATACAAACTATCTGTTTGTATATAATATTGATTTCTAAAGATTCTAAACTAAAGCAAAAATTTTAAATAAAGCTCTATAAATTTTTGAAAATATACTAACTTATTATAACTATATATATAATTTAATTAATTAGCTCTATATACTGAACTGTTTAATATAGAAAAATAAATGATATAATAAACCTACTTTATAATAAATAAAACTTTTTTCAGTGTTAAGATGAGGTTAAATGCCTTTTATATTATTATTAATTCTTAAGTTTGTATATTATTATACAATCTTGTTATTTACTCATACACTTACTACTAAACTAATTTTTGAATACAAGACTCAGACTACTTTATTTGTGATCTAAACCTACCAGTGTATTTCATATCCTATTTCTGTATTACCTAATTTTTGTGCTTCACAACTAACTAATTCCAGTAATCCAATTGTATTCTCACATAATCCAAAATCAAACCTTAGTAACTCTTAATTTGGTTTATTCAGATAATCAGTCTCTAAAGGTTTTTTAAATTGGTGTATCTGCCAAAAGCTCTTGTATATATATCTCAAACTAGGTTCCTGCTACCTAGTTAGGTTTACCACATAATGAAGTTGATATTATATGATGAATTAAGACTTATATTGGATTTGCGCTAATTAGATTATATTAATTTGCATTCTTTTATTTCTATAAATACCTAATCCTCCTACTTAATTGACCAGATATTACTAATCTATCTTAAATTAGGACCTTGCTATTGATACTAGTTTGCTATTTACAAGTTTTTAATTGTCTTTTTTTTGTTTTTTTATGTGCTTGCATATTTTTTTTATCCTCTTTGTACTTCTTTCTATAGTATTCATTAGGAACTTGTTTTGAGACGTATCTTTTTTAGCTATTGGTTTTCGTTATACATATTGTACAACTTCCAACTTGGATATCTCAATTCTGGTTGGTGCAGTATTCATACTGGTAGATTCTTAACTCTTTTCATTATAAAATTCTATATAAATATGATTAGAGTTTGATTCGGTATATTTAGATATATAGAGATAAGTTATACTCTCTACACTAAATAACCTTCTAAAGTAGGTTGTTTTGCAAAGCTAGAGATACTTCTAATTCCAGTTAAGATATGATTCTTTATCACAGCTCATAGTCATATATCACTGCTTCTCTCACTACTTCAGTTTTAGCTACCATTATATCACCCTTCCAAGCAAGTACTCCACAAGTTAGATGTAGAGATATTGGTATTGCCTTCAGGTCACCCCAACTAAAGAACCAATGTACTTGATCTTTGTATAATATAACCTTCTATAATACTACTGTTATATATGTATTTACACTTTATAATCTAGTCTTCTTCCAAAAACACTTTATTCAGGTTTCATATTACATTTAGACTTTTACAGTGTTTCATATTCAATTTTATGGCTCCATAGATTACAGAAACAAATTTTATTAAAATTTGTCTTCAGTTAGACTTGAACTATTGATCTAATCTGTGAAGGTTTAGAAGCTTAACTGCTAAGCTATAAGATCCAAATCTTTTATAAATAAATCTTTTTAAAATATATAATTTAATATATTTAGAGTTAACTATCTTACAAACTTACAAATATATTTAAAAAATTATTACCGTATTTTCGCGTAATAACGTGCAGGGGTAGAATTTCAAATTTTGGCCCGAATTAAGCTTAATTCGGGCCAAAATTCAAAATAACGCTCATGGGCATTATTATGCGAAAATACGGTATATATATTTAGATAATAAATAAATATATATCAAACTCTTTTCACTAATTTACAATTT